GGCTGTAGGATCACACTGGCTGCGTGTTCCATGTGCCCAAAATCCCAAGAGGAGAACAAAGGAGGAGCGACGGCAGCATGGAGGTGATTTCTCACTCCTCCTCTGTTTTTCTGTCTCTCTCTGGAAATTGCATGCATCCTATGGCAAAAAATAAAAACCAGAAAACAAAATGAAGTAAAACAATTTAATGGTTAAAAATAGAATATTATTTCTGAACAGTATCTTGTTTGATTACTGCATTTCTTTTTTTTTTTTTTTTGAGAGATTTTTGTTATCAGTCATGTGCACTCGCTGGAGAGACAGAAAGCACGCACACGCGCCCGGCGTGAGTTTTAAGCCACCGGGTCTGGGACACGAACCGCGGTCGACTACATGGGAGTCCAGCGACATAGCCATTACGCTAACTGCTGGTTCCCTAATTACTGCATTTCTATCAAGAGAACGTAAGAATAAATCAACGTCAAACAACTAAGTACCCCACACACGCCACTCGTGACACCTCTTCCATCTCTCACAGTCATGAACATATAAAATCTTTGTGTAAATGCGAATATCCTGTACTCGGGTTACGTTACCACTGACTGGCTTTAATCCACTTCATTTGGTCCATCAGTGCCTCCCAGTAACTGAAAACTGTGACTGTACCGTGACATTACATATTTACTGTATGTCTGGTTTGGTGTCACTCTCAGATTGGATAAGCATTAATATTCAGAAAAACATTAACGATAACCCGGCCAAGACCAGAACCAGAGAGACCTTTTCCTCAGCTAACACAAATGGACCTACTTTTGGGTGATTATCTATCTAGTTATGAACTCATCTAACTGTGTTGCTCTGTCACTTTTTTCTACCTAAATCCACAAAAATGAGGCACGCACCCAGGGCCATGCAAAATGCCAAAACGCGGTATGTGTGTCCTCTCTCTGGGTGCCCAAGGGGCCTCACACAGGACAAGCGGTCAGTCTGAAATAGCTCTGCGTGACCTCCAGTGATCACAACTGCCTTCAAAATGCTGTAGCAACTGCTGTTGTAATCGCTCATTGCAGATTCTCCTCGGAGAGGCAAATCACATCTAACCTCAGCAAAGCTATGGAGTCTAGGCCAGAACTCTGCAGCGGCTCTACTCCACCCTGCTATTTATGACACTGGGCGATTTACAAGTCGGTAACACGGATGGCCCAGGTCAGGTCACTGGACACGGCTTGGATGTCTGCAGTGTATTAGGCCCAAGTCACTGCAAAAGCTATCATTTTAACTATCTCTGCTATTTCCTTGAGACAATGTATTCCCCGAGTAACAGAAATTACAGATATGTAATGTTATAGAAAAAACATTTCTCTACATTAAAAAAATCAAAATAAAAATAAACCTGCTCACTATAAACACAGTCTCACCTTTAACTGCCAATCGAAATCCTGAAGCTGCACAGAGGAGATATCAACAACCTCTCCGAGCAGAGCCTGTCTGATCTCACCGCGCCTACTTTTCAAGCATTTCATGACAGCTTCCTGGTGAGATGAATTCAACTGATTCAACTGCTGAAGTATCTAGAAAATAAAAATGGTAGAGGGACCAGCAGTTAGCGTAATGGCTATGTCGCTGGACTCCCACATAGTCGACCGCGGTTTGTGTCCCGGACCCGGTGGCTTAAAATTCACACCGGGCGCGTGTGCGTGCGTGCCCAAGATCCCGAGAGGAGAATGGAGGAGAAGGGATTGCGGTGTGGCCATCCCCCCTGGGGGGTGATTTCTCACTTTCTATCTCTCTGTTTCTGTCTGTCTGTTTGGTGAGCGCACACACCCGATGGCAAAAACCTCTGAAAAAAAAAAAAAAGAAAAGAAAAATGGTTAAAAAAAACGATAGGATGAGTCTGTGTAAAATGGAAAAGTATACTTCTCTCCTTTCACACAGCTTGCAAATCATCCTAAAAAGGAAATCTGTCTGTGACTTTAAAAAGAACAAGACGGGGGCCAGTTCCACAGCCCAGGGGTCAGGGGAGCTGCAGACCACGGCTCACATCCCAGCCCCACAGGCCTGAAAAGCATGCCAGGTGCATAGGCATGTGTGCCCAGATCCGACAGGAGGGAGAGAAGGAAGAGGGATCCGGGGTGACGATGCCCACCAGCTGCTTCTCTGTCCCCATCTCTGAAGAGTGCACAAGCCCCCTTTATCCATCTTTGGGGGATTAGTTCTGGCAAAAACCTGTTTTTAATTTGCCATGGGGCATATACACTTACTGGAGAGAGAACGAGAGAGAGAGAGACGGAGAAAGTGAGAAATCAACCCCCGGGGGGACGGACGCACTGCGACCCCTTCTCCTCCATTCTCCTCTCACGATTTTGGGCACACACACACATGCCTGGCTTGTTTTTCAAGACAGTGAGTCCCGGACTTAAACTTCATAGTTGGCCACGTGGGATCCAGCCACCTTAACCTCCAGTCCACCTGGCTGGCCCGTGCACACAGAGAAGACACGTGTGACAGCAGGAGCAGTCACGAACCTTGCGATGACACTGCTGTTTATCAGGGAGGGGACGGAGAGACTTTACGTAACTCCCATCATCAGATACCGCAAGGGGAACCGCGTGTGTCCATGTGGGTAATCTACAAAGGCTGTACTGAACGTAACTTACAAGTGGAGACCTAAGTCTTCGTTGACGCATTTAAACACCCGGAATAACTGCCTATGTCGCTTCAAGACAGAAGCACATATACACCACAGACCACAGACGACACGACGCGTACGCCCCCTTGCGGAGCGGCCACCTCTAGGTGAGAGGCACACCTGACGGGGCCCCGGTTACTTGGACTATCTCTGCAGTGCTTAATTTCTAAAACACACACTGCACCTGAGCACAAAGTAATGTTGACCGTGAAATCTACTCATGGAAACGCAGGAGTATGTTTCGTAAAGTGCTGTTTGTTTTTTTCTGTATGCTTTGTATGTTTCACAACGAAAAGAGTAAAAACAACCAGAAACAAAACTGCAAAACCCAGGGCCAGCAGTTAGTGTAATGGCTATGGTGCTGGACTCCCATGTAGCCAACTGCGGTTCGAGTCCCGGACCCAGTGGTTTAAACTCACGCCGGGCACGTGTGCATGCATGCCCAAGATCCCGAGAGGAGAATGGAGGAGAAGGGATTGCGGCGTGGCCATCCCCCCTGGGGGTGATTTCTCACTTTCTGTCTCTCTGTATCTATCTTTCTCTCTTTCTGACGAGCGCATGCACCATATAGCAAATAAATAAATAAATAAATAAAAAGACCTCTACAAAAAACAAAAAAAACTGCAAAACCCAAAACTTCCCCAGCCAATTTTCCACTTAGGAATATGAGGTGTTTGTTGTTATACAATCTATAGCTACTAATGTATTATATAGTGTTTGAGGGCCAAGAAAATAATAATAATTAAAAATAATCACTAATTTAAAGTAATTTAAAAATAGTCTGATGGCCCAGCTATGTGGTGCAGGAGCAGGGTGTTACTGTGCAATGCTGGAGCCGTAGAAAAGGCCCTGAGTGTGCACCCGGGCGGGCACGAGCACACGAGCCTGCCTGCAACCCGGCTGGCTGGAAGGGCATAGATCATGGGGGAAACCCTCTGGGGTACTTGTCTCTGTGTCTATCTTTCAAAAAATGAAAAGTGAATACTAAAAATAATCTGAGTGGGGACCAGGAGGTTGCACAACAGTTACGTCGCTGGATTCCCAGATGGTCAACTATGGTTCAAGTCCCAGATCCGGTGGCTTCAAACTCACACCGGGTATGTGTGTGTGCACACCCAAAATCCTGAGAGAATGGAGTAGAAAGGATTATGGCACAGCGATCTACCTGGGGGGTGATTTCTCGTTTTCTGTCTCTCCAGTGAGGGCACCCACCCTATCGCAAAAATCCCTCAAAAATCAATAAATATGTGATGTGAGCACACTGGTCCCGTGGCCTCGTGGTTAAGGAGGCCAGATTCCGCACGGCCAACCGCACACTCTAAATCCCAGCCCAGCAGCTTGAGAAACACGCTAGGTACATGAGGGTCAGAAATCCTAGCAGGATGACAGAAGCAGAGGGCGCTGAGGCATGACCCATGCCCCACTGGGGGTGCTTTCTCCCTCTCCCTCTCCGTCTCTCTCTGATGAGAGCATGTACCTTCTGGCTACTACAAATATCTGGCCATTCATTATGTATTGACGATTTATTATGGGGCACAGAAGTTTGGAGTAAAGTTACCTCTTCATCAGATAAACTTTTACCAACCACAGCTTTGAAAAACGTGGCAATGTCTTCGAGAACGTGCTTCCATTCTGCGGCGTCCCACACACCGTGATAATCCTGGTAGGGAGGGTAAGCTCGGCCGCAAACGCCATCGATGGTCTTGTGCAGGAGCTGCGGGGAGGGAGAAATAAGCGCACTGGTAGGAAAAGGGTGACACGGACTCAGAGCAGGTCGCCAGGGGCACCTGAGCACGGAATGTACCCATTTTTAAGATTATCCGCTGCTTATTTTGTGCTATTTACTTATTATCCTTTTCTCATCTTCAGAGTTATTTCACATTTAACGTGAAGTCCCCATCATAATGTATACAGTATATTTTAACAGAGAATTTTACATTTTTGTCTGTTAAAAGAATAAGATTATTCTTCCTTCCTTTCCTTAGCATGAGCAACGTAAATCCTGACGCACGCATGCAGGAACAGGGACTACCACGGCGGGATCTGGGACAGAGCTAGCGTGAATCCCAGTTCCACTATGTTCTAATTTATTTAAAGGTGCTGTTTCCTCAAAGGTGAAGCGAGGACATCACTAATCCTACGGCTGACGGAGGATTAAACAGCGCATGCCGACCCGTGCTACATCCCTGCATGCTAGTATCAACGGCACCTGATTATCACCACGCCACCCCGTTCCTACCAATCCACCACACCACTCCGTTCCTACCAATCCACGCCTTCAACGTGCATCGATACAGAACCAACCGTGCCGGCACTATTCTAGACAAACGTTATATGATCATCTTTTGGGGGCCAACTGGTAGCACAGTGCTTAAGGCACTGGATTCCCACGTGGCTGACCACAGCTCGAGTCCTGGACCTGGCAGCTTGAAAATCACACCGGGCGTGTGTGTGTGTGCACGCCCAAAATCCCAGGAGGAGAAGCGATTGTAGCATGGCCATCTTCCCTGGGGGGTGGACTATTACCGTCCCTCTCTCTGTCTCGGTCTGTCTCTCTCCAATTCAGCAAGCACATGCAACCTGTGGCAAAAACCTTAAAAATATACATATGATGATCTTTCTCGGGTGTCTTCTAAGAGGAATGCACAGAACTTGGAAATAACATTTAAACAGCAGCCTTTGAACCCTTTTCCCCTGGACCACATTCCTCTTCATTTGAAGCAGTAACTCCTTCCCCTTCCACCGCACAGATCAGAGCAGAAATCAGCAGCAGAGACTGCCCTTTCCGGACGGTGCCCAGTGCACTGCAAGCAGAATTTCACTTACCACAAACCAACCAACGTCTGCCACTTACAATTCATTCAAAATGCTCTACACATTTTCCATCGTGCCCCATCCCAGAGCAAAACCCAGAACGTAAACTGAAAGGAGAAGAAAACAAGTTGCTGTCGTTTTTTGCAATGTTTTTAATTCGCTTACGAATATGTGATGAACATAACCGAATAAGGTGATGGAAATACAAAGAAAACTAGGACCACGGTGGCTACCACTCACTGAGCCCTAGCAGGGGCAAGCGCTGTACTGACCCTCATTACAGCCCTGTGAGGGGAGGACAGGGCCAGCCTCACAGCCTAGCAGTTAAGGGAGCCGGAACTCACATGGCCGACTGTGGTTCCAACCCGGCTCCGAAAGTTTGAAAACATGCCAGGCCGCGTGTGTGCCCCAAACCCTCCCAATGGAGAGAGGGAGGAGTAGGGATTAAAGCCTGACTAGACTCCCCGTGCATGTACATGTGTCCTCTGGCAATTAAGAAAAAAAGGCAGGACCAGCAGTTAGTGTAATGGCTATGTTGCTGGACTCCCATGTAGTCAACTGCGGTTTGAGTCCCAGACCCAGTGGCTTAAAATTCACGCCGGGCGCATATGCATGCGTGCCCAAGATCCCGAGAGGAGAATGGAGGAGAAGGGATTGTGGCATCCGTCCTTGGGGTGATTTCTCACTTTCTATCTGTCTCTCTCTGTCTGCCTGGCGAGTGCACGCACCCTATGGCAAAAACCTCTCAGAAAAAAAAAAGAACAAAAGGCCAACGTAAATAAATGAATGTAATCTGGAGTGAGGGGGGTTATGGTAAGAGAAGTGCATGGACTGTAGGGACATTGCAAAGGTCCAGGAGGAAGAGGACTAACTTGCAAGTGTAAGTGTTGCTGCCAGCAGGTGGCATGGCGGTCAAGGTGCTGGACTCCCACAGGGCTGACTGTCGCTGGAGCCTCCAACCTGGTGGCTTGAAAATCAAGGCGGGGTGCGTACATGGACTGTTCCCCAAATCCCAAGAGCAGAATGGAGGAAAAGAGATTGTAGCATGGCCATCCCCCACCCAGGGGGATGCTTTCTAACTTTCTCTCTCCCTGTGTCTCTCTCTCTGAGAAGTACTTGTACTCTATGACAAAAAGTTAAAAAAAAAAAAAAAAAAGAGCAAAAAGAGTAGCTGACCGAGCACAGAGAAGGGCGTTTCTAGCTACACGCAACTGCACACACACACAGGCTGAGTGTGCAATCACACAGCTCCATGGGCAGTGGGGAAGGCCAAGAGACAGGCAGCCCTGTGGTGAGGGCCAAATCATGAATAATTTGCATACAATGCAAAAGATAGAAGCCCACGCACTCTGCGCTCAACAGGGTATCGTTTTTTCCTACACATTTCCCGACAGGTTGAAAGCGGCCAAGAGAAAACAAGGAGAGCAGGTGAGGTCAAAGGCTGGGAGTTCCCTTTCCAAGCAGAGATGAGGGAGACCAGCGCGCAGAGACGTAAAGCTCGTGCCAGGAGGAACCCAGGCTCCCCGAAGCCAAGCCGGGAAGTCAGGGAAGAGGAGCCCGGACAGCCCACGCACTAGGACTGCACAGGACCTGGCCCGGTAACGTTAGAGAAAGCGAGGAGGTCAGGGTGTGTTTATTACTATTATTAGGAGGGTAAGTGAATCCCTCCTCTCGCCCCCACTTTCTCCGCTCACTGGACGACATTGGGACTTTAAAGGTGCTCCACCAAGCAGGGCCTTGTCTCTCTAGGCCTGTCACTGTCCCCAGCAGGGCGCTCAGCCCCGGGGAGGAGTCGCGAAGGCTGGTCGATCCCTGAGCAGGGCCGGGCGTTGTCTTCACCAGATCCTCGGCCAGGGTCCCTCCCGGGTCTGGGTCCCTCCCGGGTCTGGGTCCCTCCCGGGTCCGCCCCGTGTGTAGGCTGCCCCCTGCGCGCGGCTCCAGTCCCAGCGCTGGCCCAGTCCTTCCGTCGCCCTCGGGGCCGGCCGGCTCGTTGGGGAAGCCCCTGGCGT